CCAGATCCTTCACTGAATCCTGGAGCTCTGCCTGGATCCGACCCAGCTGCTCAATGCACTGGGGGCGACCGTCGTGGGACAGCAGAGAGAGAGGGGGGGGGATGTTAGAGAATTACATGAAGGATTGGGGCACAGGATCGAGGACTGAGGTCGGTACCTTTTTCAGCTGCTGTTCTTTGTAGAGGCGTAAAGTTTTGGCGGGGTCCGAGATCTCGTTCTTGTAGTTCTCGCAGACGTTGAGTCGAGACTGGGTCACCTGCATGGTGCCTTCAAGATAAGCCCGCCACACTCCATACACATTCCTGCAGCAGGAAAAACATGGTTACTGACTGCAAACACTATTTATGGAGCGCTATTCCCATGCAAACAAAAGCAACAGCCCTATTTAGACAGTTTCTGATTACATATACAGTAAAAAAAACCATTAGCACAGTTCCTTCACAACAAAACTTGGACTGCAATCAGATGGCAATTTATTCACAGGTCGTCCTTCTAAACTGGAAGTTTGCTTCACACATAGTCAGTCATGATCATAATGAACTTACTCAAGGTAAAGTAAACATTTCCTACTTGTTGCATTATTATAGCGGTCTAAATGAAAAAAAAAAAAACCCACTAAGAAAAAGTGTATATTTAAAAAAAACTGGATAGATTGGCTTCTAGTCAATGTAGTGGAGCAGCCATTTGATTTACTTCATGTAGTTCATTTCAAACAGCTATCCAAATGTTCATTACCATGCAAAGCGTCAATCGTCAATCAAAAAATAAAACTGCAGTAGTCATAAAAGATTTGACCATTTTTAGCGCAATTTCTCTTAAAGGTATAGTTCACCCAAATATGAACTTTTTTGTCATTGCCTCACCGTTACATGCAAGTTGTTACAAACCTGTATGAATTTCTTTCTTTTGAATATTTTAAAGAATGTGGGTAACCAAACAGTTTCTGGTCCCAATAGAGTTTGGTTACCAACATTCTTTAAAATATCTTGTGCTCAACAGTATAAAAAAAATCATACAGGTTTGGAACGGTGCGTAAATGATGACAACTTTCATTTTTGGGTGAAATACACCTTTAAAATGTTGATTTAGAAGAAAAAAACATCGACATTTCTATTTTTGACAGTAAAATCACAATGAAATGAATCACTAGACAACTCTGAAACTTAGTTATGGCTGTGTTGTAAGATTCAAGAAACACAAACTATCGCTGTAAAGCACTCATAGGGAAACTTGTGAAAGATGATTTTTTATTCACCTGTAATCTGTCCTCTGGTCGTCTGGTTTGATCCCAGGCCAGTCCCTCTTCAAATACTGACTCGCCAACTTCTGCAGGGCCTGAAAAATATAAAAACAACAGAAAACAGCGTAAGATGCTTGAATGTGTTCGGTTTCTCACGCTACATCCCAATTCCATTACTATCCAGGTAATGGAAGTATGCAAAACACAAATTAGTGTGTACAAAATCTTAATATATTTATAACAGTGTGCCAAAACTTGGGTAAAATTACCCAAGCCCAACAGACATTTTCAGCTGAATAAAAAGCTGTATATAAATGAATCTAAAATTTATGTATTCATGAATATTAAGCGAAAAAACTTAGCTAGATGCTAATTCTTACAATCAAACACAAACGGAAAACAACAAGGTCAACAAGACATTTCATGAAGTGAATGTCTGCTGTACTGTTTTGCTTGTAGTGTGCAGTGGTCTGTTATTTTGTGTTTTCGAACATGAACACAAAGCAATTAACAGGCCATATGCGTGTTCTCGTGATGACCCTGTCATCAAACACCATTTATCATGGATTAACACAAGCACAAACACATGACACGATACAAAGCAACCCAAATTCCAACGACCGTGACATATGTTTGCTGTTGGCATGAAGAGCGAGGAGTTTGCACTCTTCTCTGGGAACGTGAAAGGCCTCCGCTCGAAATTACACTTCCATAACTGCACAAACGCCACCTGACATATGGTGAAACGAACAAGGCGGCCTCACTTCCTAACGTGTTCTCTCTTCCGCCATATTGTAAATGGAGGAGAGAGATGCGCCTCTACGTGAGGCCGATTAGCTGCTGGCTTTCGTTGTGTCCCATCCACACCTGCCCCATTCCCAGATACCAAACAACAGCATCTAGAGTGTGTGCGGATGAGAGAATGGCATGTGTTTGTATAAGCAGCAGGGAATGAAGCAGAAGAAAGGAGCTGTTCTCTTCGGCTGAGGGCGGCGGTGTGGCAGAGACTGGCCTCTTTCAGTCCCTCAACAGGACGCTACAGATCAGCTGGGTTGACGTCTTTTATTTTCCTTCCTCTGCGTATTAGAACAATCACTGGACGTGTTTTTCTAACACTCACACTTAAAGCGAACAAGACAGAATAAAAAGGTCAAAGAGAAAAGGAAACTTAAAAATGTCTTAGTGTGCACTAGGACTGGACAAAATATTAAATATTAACAATATACACACTATGATTTTGCTGGTAATATAAATTTGAGCAACACCGAAAATCACAATGATTGCATGCAATTTTTTTACATCTTTGGACTAGTTTTGAATCCTTTAAAAAAAAAAAAAA